CAGAATTGCTCGGTATAAGTTGAAGCTATAACCCAAAAATCCAAGTTAAGTCAGGAACATAGACTTTGACTTATCTAGAAAAAGAATATTTGCATTTATAATTAGTTAAGAATCTAAATTCAATGAATAATTGTTCAGCTTATAAAAAGAGAACATACAGGAGCACATATAGAAGGTTAATGTGAAGCTAAGAGGCAGAGACAGGGGTGGTGTTACCATAAGTCACAGATTGCCAGGAACCACCAGAATCTGGAAAGCAAAGGGAGGGGGTCTCCCCTCGCAACCGTGAAGGGAACCTGACCCTATGGAACTCGACTTTCAACTAGCTTCTAGAAAAACAAGAGTAGATATTTTTTGTTGTTTGAAACCACTTACACTGTGGTACATTGTTAAGGCAGGCTCAGAAAACTAAGCCACTTGTTTATTGTGACTAATGATCTCATAAGGAAAGAAGAGAGAACATGACCGACCTCACACCAGCGGAAAGAACGTAGAAATAACCTGGACAACACGGGCCCCTGTGTTTAAAGGACAGCATGCTCCCTACAGTGATGATGGCTACAAAGCATGACCACAAGTCCTGCCTTGTCTTCTCCATCTCACCAGCAACTGTTCTTCATCAGTTTCCCCAAATAACAAATACCAAAAAAACAATTTCATCTTGATTTGGGGGAGCTCTGGTGGTGTAGTGGTAAGAAGGTGTGCCACAATCCCAAAGGCAGGTGGTTTGAATCCACCAGCTCCTCTGTGGGAGATGGATGGTCAATCTCCTCCTGTGCAATTTACTGCCTCTGAAAGCTCGCTGGAGTGTCAGCTCTGGGTCGGTTCCTATTCGATGGTACTGAACAAGAGCAACAACCATCAAGCATGGCTTAAAAGTCTGGAGATTTAATACAGTCCAGAAATCAACAGCTGCGCATTCTACTCCCAATCTAAGGATAAAACGTTCTTGAGCAGACAGACTTAAAAAAATCTGACCAATTTAGGGATATGATGTCAGTGCATACACAGAACAGGCTGAGAGTACCACTTGGTCAACCGCTCTCTAAAAGTCTTCTGCACCTAATCATACTCAATCAGTACTGGGTAAATCAAAGAAGGTTGTTCTTTTCCCCCAGTGAAAGATGAAAATGGGGCTAGGTCTTATCTGCAAAGATACACACTTTGCTAGCAGCGGGCCAGTAATTTGACTTGCCAAAAGACGTGTGCTCTTTAGGTATTAAAACTCTCTGATTGAGCACAGAATCAGCATCAGCATCCAGCTTCCTGGGCCGTTCAACAGAACTGGCTAAGTACAAGATTTATTTCTGGCACATTTCTGTCACATAATTCTCCCACAAGATTAGTGACAACCTGTAATGCCCTGCTAATCATTAAGACAATCTGTTGTACAGCTGGCATGCTTTCCTGACAAGATCTGCCTTTCATACTTGGTTGATTTTAGGGTCCACTGAAATGAAAAGTCTCTTCTATGGACAGACTCATCAGCATGCAAAGCATACTTTGAATTTTTACAGCATCAGAAATGGCTGGAAAAGACTCTGAAAACAGCTGCTTTGATCTCTTAAGGAATGGCTGCTCAGAATGCTAGGGGGAAGCATGGAGATCCTGCAAATTCATAGTATTGAGATCCCTCCGATTCACTGCTATCAAGTCAGAACTGTCTCACAGCTGACCCTCCAGTGGGTTTCTAAGGATGTAAATTACACAGAATGAGGATGCCACCTTTCCTCCCTCAGATACACTAGTGGATTTGAACCACTTAGAGAGGCACAGCATTTGGGTAAGCAGCACAAATCCCTAAAGACTTCGCCACCAAAGCTCCCTAGATCAACTAGCAAGTAACTCCGCCTTTCAGCCCTTTTCTTAGTTTCCCAGGCCTGCCACTAACAAAAGATCAAAATCGGAAGGCTTTAAAGAAAAGCTATTTGTTCTCACAGTTCTGAAGACATGTGGATTCAGGGCGTCACCATCAGGTGATGTCCACCCATGGAAGGTTCCCTCATTTCTCTCTCAGTTCCTTCTGAGCTTCAGGCACTTCTTGGAGTTGCTCACCTGGTAGAAAGGCCCTGACATGTTTTCTTCCCCAAGTCTCTGCTTTTGCATCTGCGCTTTTCAGCAATACCACTCAGAAGAGATTAGAATCACCACCCTGATCTGGTGGAGCAGTGGCTAAGTGCTTGGCTGCAAAAAGAAAAGGAAGGAGCTTTTATGGTACACTCCATAGAGTGCAATGATGCTAACCTAAAAAGGTCATCAGTTCAAGCCCACCAGCCACACTGAAGGAGAAAGATTTGCTTTTGTAAAGATTTATAATTTGGGAAATCCTCTGGGGAAGTTCTACTCTGTCCTATAGGACTGGACAATAGTGGGTTTGGTTTGTATTTACTCAAAATGACTTTAATAATTTAGTTGACAACATATGAAAAAAAATGTCCATTTCTCTAAACAAGGCTAAATTACTATTTTAGGGGTTAGGATACATTCAACCATAATACCGCTGAAGCTGGAACCTTGAGGTTTTTTTCCTGCTCCTTTGACTTCTTCACACTCAAGCAAACTATACTGAGCATTTACTATGACCAGAAGGCTTATTTAAATAATGTCAGCTTAAAAGTAATGTGTAAAATTTCACCCCATCTCCAATTCCATTCCTCACTCTTTTTTCTTAATTGTGATCATAATAAAAAATTTACAGATAAGTTGGGGGTTTTGTTTTTTATCATATTAATTTACAAAATTTGAATACATTGTTTTCCAAAACAGATTCTTCCAATTTCCCTCGCCAGCCCCACCATCAAATTGTACAACCCATGATTAATCCTTCCCTCCCCCTACACATCCTCATCTCTCTGCTTCCACCCTCCCCCTCTTGGATCCTTATACTCATTCTACAATAATGGGTTTAAACAATATTTGTCCTTGTGGGACTAAGTTAGTTCATGCAACATAATGCTCTCCAGTCCCTCCATACAAAAATCAACAAGCTGGATCAGAGACCTAGGAGTAAAGGCCAAAACCATAAAGTTCATAAGAGACAAACTGGAATCAAGCTTAGAGGTGCTAGTCCAAGGTTTAAAGAGACTGCCAAATATAGCAAGAAATGCACAATCTGAAGAGGATGAAATTGATGCATGGGACCTTCTAAAGATTAAATCCTTGTATGCATCAAAAACTTTTTCCAACAGGGTAAAAAGAAAACCTACAGACTGGGAACAAACATTTGGTAATATCATCTCAGACAAGAGTCTCATAACGGAAGTCAAAAGAATACTCTTGGGCCTCCACAAGAAAAAGACTGATAACCCAATTACAAAATAGGCAAAAGACATGGAAAGAACTTGCACAGAGGAAGATATTCAAATGACAGACACATGAAGAAATGCTCAAAATCAATAAGAGAGATGCAAATCAAAACACAATGAAGTACCATCTCACTCCAGTAACAGTGGCAAAGTTTAACAGGGCAGCAAGAAAGGCTGGGTTTTCATTTATTCGTTGATGCAGTTTTCTCCCCTCCCCCTTCTTTTCCCTCCCTCAATTCACTTTGTAATGCACCTTCTTTTTCCAGATGGTTAACTGCCACCAGGCTTCTCTCCCTCATTTTCTTCATGGCTTTTTACATGAAGCTCCCCCTGGCCTTCCATGAATTTAAATTCATGATATACACACATAGATCATGTAGCACCCCCTAACCTCTTTCATGGATTACTTTTTATCCACGATTCTCACTGCCATTCAACACAGTATATACAGTCTGTTTTTCTCAAGCAGTGCTGTTAGAGTGAACGTTAATCACTGGTAGCTACTTAAATTGGATTAAAATTAAAAATTCTGTTCTTGACTCACACTACGCATCTTTCAAGCGCTCACTAGTCTCATATATTGGCAACAGAGAGTGTGTCATCCTCACAGGAAGTTCTCATGGACAGTGCGGCTCGAGGGCTAAGCTCCACAGATGCAGAGAATTTGCTTGGCTCAAGGATCTCCATGGGACCTAGCACAGTGACTGCACGTAAATAGCTGTTGAATGAATGAGTTAACTTATTATTTGCCTGATCACTCATTCACTGTCCAAATCATAGCCACTTCCACTTGGTTTTTGAAATAATAAATCTTAGCAGAGGAGACTTCCTATCTTTCTCCCACAGAGACACTTGGTGAATTCAAACAGCTGGAGATCTGTAGGTGTTTGGTTAGTATCACATACTACAGACCATGCCATCAGAGCTCCTTTTTTGCTTACAGATCCCTATTTTTCTATAATAAGCAAAACTATCCACCTATATGATGCTGTTGTATGTTGCTGCGTTAACTCCAACTCATAGTGATTTCATATGACAGAAGAGAACTGACTGAGAGGGTTTCTTAGACCATGATCTCCATAGGAGCTGATCCCAGATCTTTCCTCTCATGGAGCTGTTAGAGAATCCCACCAACCAAGCTCTTGGCTAATTGTTATATGCCATCTAGTTGGAGCTGGATTTTGGTTGACCCTCCGGTGGGTTTTCAGAGGCAGTAAATTGCACAGGAGACTACCCATCCTTCTTGCATGGAGCAGCTGATGGATTTGATCCTTGTACCTTTGGGCTGGCAGTGCAGCTTCTTACCCACTACAGCTCAGTTTGCCTAGTAAGCAGAGCCCTTGACCACTGTAACATCAGGGCCCTCTGACAAAGGCACCTAGGCTCTCCTGGTCCAAGGAATCCAGTCATGTCCAACAGGCCACAAGGGTACATTGTGGAAACAGCCACCAGCATGTAGACCAAGGAAGGAACAGTCCCTGACACAGAACCTTGGCGTTTCAAATCTATTCCCATGTTGTTTCATTCAAATATCTTTGTTTGGCACAGAACAAAGAGTTAACAGCAGCTTCCTTATTTCTTCTGATAGCACCTACCTACAAACTCTGCATCAAGACTTGGTTTATTAGTGTAAACTCTACATCCCTGAGAAGAACTGCGTCAGGTAAAGAACACACCACATGTGTTTACACTCACAGGATGGGGTGCACAATCAGCTCCGGGCTGTACGACTTAATCACAGGTGCGGCCTCCTTGGTACAGAACACGTGGGACAGATCCGCACCCTGAGAAAGGAGGCACAAGGGGCGAACATCAAACACTGAAACTGCCGGGTCAGACATAAGGCATTTCCCAGTAAGTAACATCCAATGATTAAAAAATTATTCCATATTCTAGATTTTGCTTGTGGATATAGATGCTCAAAATTTCCAAAATGAATAGAAGTTTCTACAGCAATAAAGAAGATGCTTGTTCCCTCAGAGTCTTGGTGTGATAAGGATGGGCAAATCAGAAATTGGCTATCTGAAATGGGGATATTAAGGAATGAGGCATGAAGTGGCTGCTTACACACTTTCACAAATGTAGTTACTAATGATTCTGGGGGGGAACCACAATATACATGAATAAAACACAACGTAAATGAAAGATTGTATAAACATAATATGTATGAAGGATCACATACAATTTAACAATATATATGAACAATTATATCAAAGTATATAATAAAAATTATTCCTTATTACCCATAAAATACAAAGTAAAACGCACCTTAACAAATTTTATTTAAAAGAAAAATGGATTTCAAGTTATTCTCATCCTAACCAGACAATAAGTCAGCATGGAGTTAAAGATTTTCTTTCTTTTTTTTGAGTTAAAGATTTTTCTAAGGTTACCCTAGGCTGTTATTTATATTTCTATCAGAAAAAATTTTAAAAGAAATTTTATTGCTTTTCATTCAATCATTCATATACTTTTTGTTTTATACCATTAATTAAAATGAACCAGTGACATTTATTACATCATCCCATCAAATCTTCCTATCAGAAAGTATTTGCATTAATCCTAGGTAAACTATCTAACCCTTTACTAGAAAAATCCTTACTGAGAAGTTTTAAATAGACATACCACTTTGAGAGCTGAGATTGCTGCAAAATATGGGGCTCCAGTGTACCTAAAAACAAGACGTTGAGAGTCTTAAGGTTTCTGTGAATAGGGCAAGTATCCCAGGTTTATCATAGACAAAACATGGGCATGACACAGACAGCACAGTATACAGCACTCTGCGGGTGCTCAAGAAATGCTCAGTAGCTGCAATGAACTTGAAGATTGTGAGGACAGTGCAGGATAGAAGACGGTTTTGAACTGTTGTTTAGAAGGTCACTAGTAGTCGGCCTCTGCTCCTTGGCATCTAACAACATATATATTCACCAAACATAAAAGAGTACCAGAAAAGAGAACCTTTTCTATAAAACCTTTCTGGTTTCATGTAACTGTACATTCCAACAAAAGAGCTGAAAAAGATAATGAGAATTTACCACGCTTGGAGGTGGTTTGAAGTTCAAAGAAATCAGAGGAATAGATACCATCTCAGATGAGACAGGAGACAGTTCTCAAAACTTAACAGTGAGCAGGAATCATCTTGTATTGGGGATCAGGGGGCTCCTTGGGACAAATGACAGGAGTCTATAAACATTCCCCCCCCCACTTCCAGAATTCCTGTAACTTAATTTTTAATGTCATTCAAATACAGAACACAGTTACTAAAACTAATTGAATGACTGTACTTCTTAATTCCAACCAGTAATACAATTAGTTAAGAAGACCTCTGAGCACAGTGAAGAAGGAAGCGAACACATACTTTACAGATGTGACCTCTCTGAGCTGCAAGAAAGAGTGTCAGGGTAGCAAAAGGAGGGTCAGGACATGCATCCATGCCAGACACACAGCCAGACACCACAATGTTAAGATCAAGGACAAGTGATAAAAGAAAGGCATTAAAATAATGAAAAATGGTTTCGTCTACTGGACTCCCAGTTTAATAATATTTTGAATTTTCAAGGCTTTAGAGGAACAGGTGTTCTTGAACATTGTTGGTGACAACAGAGTGTAATTTAAGGGGAGGGCAGTTGGCAGTGTTTATCAATATTTAAAATGTATTTTGATCCAGTAAGAATTCAGGAATTAATCTTTCAGAAATAATTGGATATGTACAAAATGCAATATATGGGCAGGTATATACACAGTTGTACTGGTAACAATACTAATAATAACAAAAAAGAAGTAACTTGATTGCCTATCAATAATTAGCTGAATACACTATTGCCTTTATTTACAGTAAATACTATACATTCATTTATAAAAAATAGATTTATTTGAATTAACATGGAAAAACTTCCACAATACAGCATTAAGTGAAAAAAACTTTACAAGCACAGAAAAGTCTGGGAGGCTATCAAAATGTCAATAATGTATCATTCTCATGAGGAATATTGTAGTGCTTTCACTGTATGTACTTCTTTTTTATTTTCACTTCATTAACAGTAAGCAAACATTTTCACTTCACTAATGAAAAAACTGAGTGTGAATTTCTTAAAATAAGCAGACTGAGGGGCCTAGTGGCAAGAAGCTGCACTGCAATCCCAGAGGCGAACTGTTCGAAACCACCAGATGCTCTGCCGAGGAAGGAGGGACAATCTCCTGTACCAGTCAGATCTGATTTGACAGTACACATACACAAAATAATAAAATAAAATAAAATAAAAAAGCAGATTGTTGTTGTTGTTGTGTACTGTTGTGCAAGAATCGACTCAATGCTGACCCTCCGTGGAGATTTTAGAGGCAGCCATCGCAGGGGAGGAGACCGCTCCTCTTTCTCCCAAAGCAGCTGGGAGATTCGAACCACGTGTGTCCTTTTGGGCTGGCAGCACAACTCTTCACCACTAAGCCACCAGATCTCCCTAAACAAGGAGACAGTACTTTTATAATCAGATTAAAGATATTTCTGGTTTTAGAGGTTAGTATCTAAAGCTAATAGGTATATCTTAAATCAGATAATTGCACTTTAAAGTACTATAGCCCTAAATCTTCCCAAAATACAAGAAAGGAGGGAGGGATTTGACAAATGACATCTTTGACTTCAACTCTTTCTTGGGGGAAGAGGACAACTCCATTGGACACATCTAGGCAGGGTCTGGGATTCCTGAACAAGAGATTAGGATGGGTCTTTGCTTCCCCTCAGCCCCAGGTGAAGACCCAATGAGAGTGAAACCAGGCCCAGGAGAGGGGCTCCACAGGCCTGTGAAGGAGAAGTCAGTAATCCTCCAGCAAAGACAGCCTCTGGTACCCAAGTGAAAACATTTTGAAAGATGTTGCTTCTACAAAAGTGGAAATGTTTGTCTTCCATTACCCAGACTGGAGAGGCCTTAACAGCTGGGCATGACAAAGTCAGGAGCAGTCAGAGAAGTACAACAGTATGCTTAAAAAGAATGGGGTGCAGAAATGGAGAACTGACTACAGAGTTAAGGGGGGGAATACAATAAAAGGTTTTAAGTAAAGATTTCCTGCAAATGCAAGAATAAAAGACTTTTAATAAAAAAGGAACTAAAACATGACTTTCAAGTTTCAAAGATGAAGCAGGAGAATATTAACTCACAGAGCGGGGAGAAACCCAAGGTGACAGAAATCACCACCATCTTTAGGTTGTCAGTGCAACTCCCCACGAATCACCTTGCCTCTGGCAAAACATAGCAATGACACATGCCAGTGTTATTCAATTATCCAGCAGTTATTCAATGCATCCTGGACTTTTAAATTAGAAGGGTGACTGCTGAAAAATATTGTCATAACATCAGACTATATATAGAAATGTAGCTCTGGTGGCCTAGTGGTAAGGAGCTCGAATCCACCAGCTGCTTCATGGGAGAAAGATGAGCAATCACTTCCTGTGTGATTTACAGCCCGTAAAAAAACCTGCTGGAGGGTCAGCTATGAGACGGTTCTGACTTGATGGCACATAACAATGACATGTTTAGAAATGAACACTGTGATCAGACTAGAGAAGTACATAGACGAGGGGTAGGTCCAGTCAGATAGACAGATAAATGCATAACACAGACACACATGTATATACACACAACAATAGATAGCAGGCAGGGACGTTAAGCACTAACATTACACACTGGTGACTTACTCTTGACAGCCGCCAACTATGCCTATTCTTCCATCTTGTCCTTTGTGCTTTTTGGTAGTTAGAGGAGGTATAATATTTTTCACCAACTGAAAAGTACTTTCCATATCCTTTACCGAATGTGTTTTATGTAGTGAAAATGCTCTTTCTAAAACTGAAAAACAAGAAAGGGAAATTAATTTAGAATGATATATTATCTACTGTTATACATAAAGTACAGAGACTTAAACAAATGTATTTGCTGCAATATTTTCCACAGCTGACTTACTATGAACGCTATAGCGTTTATCCAGCGGTTTCACCAATTCTGTAAGTAAATGACATTCAGAAATTACAACATAGCACTAACACACACTGTATATATTAAATTTAAGGAGTCCTAGTGATGAACGACCAGCAGCTCATACCTCCAAGGACAAAGATGTGACAATCTGCTTCAGTCAAGTTTACAGACCTGGAAACACCATGCGGCAGTTCTGCTCTGTCCTCTGTAGTCTCTATGAGTCAGTATCAGCCAGGTGGTATGCAACAACATACTACGTTTCTTTTTTAAATATACCTGATACTTAGGAGAATACCTCTGTCATTCAGAGAGTTCTTGGGGGTACCCAATAATATCACTTGATAACATCATATTTGTACATCAAACTTCAAGTCTATTAAGTCTCACCCTTCCCAAGTGGAAAGGAAAGTCCCCATTTGCTGCCTGCCAGTGTCACATTCTAAACCCTGACATATTTATCACATTGTTCCAATTCAATTTTTCATGTTGTATTTATTTTCAGCACACGTTTGGATAATAATTAGATAACAAAAACAAAATGGTGTTCTAAGCATAGACAACCTTTGGTAGATCTCAAACCCAATTCAAAAGAGTATTTTAAAATTCTCTTCTCTAAATAATTACATTTTTATTGGTCTTTCCTAGAATTTGGTTTTACCTTGTCGCCTTTTGCTTCAATATTTAATATAGCTTAGCTATGAGTCAAATGCTAATTGTTCTGTAGACTCCAGTACATGAGTCGATAAAATACATATTCTCTCAAGGATAAGATCTTTTAAAATAAAAACTTTTTTTTTTCCAAACAGGTAATTGTGTTGTTGTTATGTGCCGTCAAGTCGCCTGCGACTCATAGTGACCCTATGTACAACAGCCCTAAACTCCGCTCTGTCCTGTGCCAGTCGCACTGTCTCTGACACTCCCATCCCAATTATCCCAGTCACTGAATCAATCC